GTGGGAGGGGGTACCACCACTGTGGGGTACAGCTACATCCCTGCTCCCCCCCTGGATGCCCAAACCCATAAAAAGCCATCCCTGTCCCCATCCGAATCCCTGCCCCAAACCTGCAGTGCCAGGGCTCTGTGCATTGTTGCCTTCACCTTCCTCTTCCTCTTCCTCACCTGTGCCCTACCTGGCAGGGGTGCAATCAGCTGAGGCTGTCTGGCCCCTCCCTGGGCTGGGCCCGGCTATAAAGTCCTGGGGCCAGRCAGAGGGTGTCATAAGGATCTGGGAGCTGTTGGCAGGTGAGTCCAGGGGTGCCAGGGCTGCGCTTGGGAGTTCTTGTCTGTTGGATGCTGCTATTGCTGAGCTGTGGGTGGGATCCTGCCTGGTTCCTACAGGAATCAGAGCTGGGGCTGCGTTTGGCCCCTACACCACAAGTTTTGAACGATGTTTTTTTGGGACATGAGATACCATGGGGTAGGTTTGGGGGGCACAGCCTTGGGCATAACATGAGGTGCATTGGGGGCAGAGGGGACTGATGGTGTGTGTTCAAGGGCTGTTCCCATGGGACATCCCACTCCTGTGTTTGGGATATGCTGGGATGGCCCCGTGGGGCAGGTGAACATGGGGATCAGAGGGGTCTGATGAGGGCCAAAGGGGCTATTCCCATGGCATATGCTGCTCCCCTATCTGGGTGAGGTTGGGGTGGCCCTGTGGGGCAGATGAATGTGTAGAGCAAGACCTGCCACCAGCGGAGGGATACCCAGCTGCGTGTGCCCGGCACACAGCCACTCGTGTGCCAGCCACCAGGAAATGGTGGTGGTGATGGCCCAGGTGACATAGCCTTGAGTCACACTGGAGACTTCAGGTGACAGCCCATCTCTGGCACATGGGCCAGGAAGGATGCTCGGAGAGAGGCACCGCAGTCCCTGAATGTCCCCATCCCTGTCCCCARACAGCAGCAGCGATGGCAACGCTCTACCCCTCCCTGGAGGACATGAAGGGCCACCAGGTCCTGCAGGTCAGTGCCAGCACAGCAGGGTTACAGGGGGTGAGCAGACCCCACTGGGTCCTGCAGGGCCCCACCTCAGAGGGTCCTCAGGGTGGGGGGCACAGCGTTGAGCAGATTCTGTCTCTTGGCAGGCGCAGGCAGCTGCCGGGGTGAGGACCCCTGCTACCACAGTGGTGACAGAGAAGCCAAAGCTCACCTTGGGCACTGGTAAGGTGGGGCATGATCAGCTCTCCCTGTTTAGGGGCTGTCTGGATGGGGAACAATGCTCAGTGGTGGTGGGAGGCTCAGCTGAGACMCCCCAACTCAGTGCATGGCTCCTGGAATGGGATTTTGGTGTCTCTTTTTGCTGGCCCACTGTCCCAGGTGGCTCCTGGGATGGAAGGGGCAATGGCTGTGTGTTGGAGCTGAGGCCACCCTCGGTATGTCCCTCAGAGCCACCTGTGCTGTACCCCAACCTGGCTGAGCTGGAGAACTACATGGGGCTGGCACTGTCCAGTGAGGAGATCCAGAAGAACCTGCGCATGGAGGATAACACCCACACGGGGGACAACACCGGCAAAGGGGACAGCACCCGCACGGGGGACAACACCGGCAAAGGGGACAGCACCCGCACGGGGGACAACACCGGCAAAGGGGACAGCACCGGCACGGGGGACAGCACCCGCACGGAGAACAGCACCGTAGGTGTCCGGGCTGGCAGCTCTCCCTGCCCCACGTGGGCTCCCGGTGCCATGGCTGGGGACCCTCTGRTTCCTCATCCTGCCTGGGGAAGGGGTGCAGCACCCTCCAAGGGCTGAGGTGCACAGGGCCCCGTGTCCCCCGTGTCCCACTGACCTCCGTGTCCCCCGCAGGCACTGACCCCCGCCGGGCCCCTCCCGGGCCAGCTGGTCGCCCCCCTGAGCGGGAACAGCGCGGGGCTGCGGCGGGCAGAGATCAAGCCGGGTGTGCGGGAGATCCACCTGTGCAAGGATGAGCGGGGCAAGACAGGGCTGCAGCTGAAGAACGTTGACCAGGTGAGAGGCTGGGCTCGTGTGGGGCTGGACATGACATGGGACAGTGTGGCACGGCATGATGTGACATGGTATAAGCATGACACGAGCACAGCGTGACACGGCAGTGTATCAATGTGTGTCACAGCAATTAAATGTCACAGCATGCCACAGCACAGCAGGGTGCAGATGGCACRGCATGGTATGGCATACCACAGTGCATGGCACAGCCACTGGTCCCTGGACCAGCCCTGTGCCACCACTCCACTGCATCCCCAGGGCATCTTCGTGCAGCTGGTGAAGGCCAACTCGCCGGCGGCGCTGGTGGGGCTGCGCTTCGGGGACCAGGTGCTGCAGATCGACGGCAGGAACTGCGCGGGCTGGAGCAGTGACAAGGCACAGCGGGCGCTGAAGAAGGCRAACCCCGAAAAGATCGTCATGGTGGTGCGGGACAGGTGAGCRGGTGGCAGGGCCGGTGGCGGTGGCAGTGCCCGTGGCAGCGCTGACTGTGCTCTCCCCACAGGCCTTTCCAGCGCACCGTGACTGTGCACAAGGACAGCACTGGCCACGTCGGCATCGTGGTGAAGAAGGGCAAGATCGTGTCGCTGGCCAAGGACAGCTCGGCTGCCCGCAACGGGCTCCTCACCCACCACTGCATCTGTGAGGTGAACGGCCAGAACGTCATCGGCATGAAGGTAGGGCTGTGCCCCGGGGTGCAGGGTCTGTCTGGGGAGCCCAGGAAGGGGCCAGATAATAGGGGAGGGAGGGGGATTCTGAGCAAAGCTGGGCACCCCACGGACCCCCCCATAGACCCCCCTGCTCTCTCCCGCAGGATAAGCAGCTCATGGAGGTGCTGGCAGGGGCTGGGAATGTGGTGACACTGACCATCATCCCCACTGTGATCTACGAGCACATGGTCAAACGGTGAGAATGYGGGGCCACAGGGACCCTCCACACCCCACAGAGCCCCCAGTTCCCCCCACTGACCTCCCTTCCCTCTGCCCAGGCTCTCGTCAGGGCTGGTGAAGTCATCCATGGACCACTCCATCCCGGACCTGTGACACCATCACTGCTGTCCCGGGAGCTGATGCTGAAAGCCTAGAGGACCTGCTGAAGGCACCCTCAGCACCTCAAAAGCAGCTATTTAAGCACAAAACCCCTCATCCCTTCAGAGGCCTGGTGACTGCCGGGTGGTTCTTTCTCTCCTCGGCAGGGATGGGGCAGATGTCCTGTACCAGGGTCCCATTGTCCCCATGTCCCTGCTCGGGCCACCCCTCTCAGGGCGGATGCCAAGGGCTGGCTCCAGCCAAAGCAGACACAGACCCAGCGACATTTATTACATCCACCACAGAGAGCGAGTACAGGACAGGGGAAACAAGAAGAGGGGGGTTACAGCTTTTTCACTTCTGTATTTAAAAAATATATTATATAGATTTGTCTTTCAAATATAATCGTTACATTTATTTCTTGGCAAAGCTTTGGATAGTCTAACAGACGTGTACACAGATCCACAAATACATTGCACGAGAGGCGAATATCCCAGCTCCGCTTACATCGGGCCCGGCTGCCTGGACACTGCTGCTCCCCAAATCTTTTCCCCTGGCACCTGGTGCTGTGCTGGTGGCAGAGCTGCTGTCCCTGCTGCCCCCAGCACGGGCAGAGCCGGCAGACAGGGGATGCAGGGAAGTGTGGGGCACACGGGGTGTGACACGTGCCCCTGTGGGGACCGCTGGACACCGGCGTGTGGAGCATCACCGGCTGCCAGGGCACCCGGCCGGTGGCACCCACGGGTGGGGGAGTGGGCTTGGGTTGGGGTTGGGGRGAAACACTGTTAGTTCAAGTCACGAAGAAACCACAGACATTCGTGGGGTGGGAGCGCGGTGCGCCCGGGGGAGCCCCAAGTYCCGCGCCCCAACAGCCCCGCTGAGCAATCCTTGCTGTCTTTGCGTTTCAACAACGAGAAAAAGGCATTTTTTCTGGAGGCCACCGGCAAAGCAGGGGTTTGGGTGGGCCGGGGCGGTAAAGGGCTTGGCTCTGCCTGCACGGCACTGCCCATACCCCGGCAAAGGCATCCGAGCTCCAGCACACGGTGGGATCACCGGCAGCGCGGCTGACAAAACTGCAGGAGCTCCCGGTGCCGCTGCCCGGCGGCCAGAGTCCCAGCGACCGGGCTTCAGWCTGTACCCAAAAAAAAGTGAATATAGTGCAAAGCAGAGGGAGGGAGAGCCCACGGCTTCCTCGGGGAGCTCCGTGTGTGAGCTGCAGCCCAGTTCCATCCCAGTTCCATCCCAGTGTKGGGAGGCATCTCCTAGGGAATGGGAGGCTGGACCGAACGGCTCCGGTGCTGGTCCCTGCGAGCGGACAGAGCCCCCCATCCCCCTGCCCACAGACACACGCTGTACCTGGAGCAAGGAACCGCTGCATCCCCAGCGCCCCACGCTGCCAGCGGCTCCCTGCCATCACCCGCCCGCGGCACGGCTGGCCTCGGGGACCACCCGGGGACAAACAAGAAGCAAGTGCGRTGGAGGGAGAGCCCTCTGGCGAGTACAGCCCCACAGCCCACCGCAGCCAGAGGCACAGGCAGGGGTGTCCATCGGCGGGGGGTGACACTGGGTGCCAATACAACAGCGGTCCCTTCCCTCGTCCAGGACAAAGGAGCTGGCGGGGGCAGCACACCTCGATGCACCCACAGACCCCTCGGTCCCTTCCCACCCGCCAGYGCCACGCCGGGGCTTTACAATCAGCAGTCGGGTCCGTGGGGGCGGGTGGGGGGCGTCGGAGGCGTCAGGGCTGGGCGGCGCCGCCGGGGCTGGCGACGGGGCGACAGCCCATCCTGCGGATGGAGTGCAGGGCGACGGTGCAGCAGCCCCGCAGCAGCGAGCTGATGTTGTAGATGGGCTGGCCCTGCCGCCGCTGCGAGCGGCACAGCCAGGCCACCGTGGGCACCGCCGGCACCACCACYGCCAGCAGATCCACGATGAAGTGGCGGCTCCAGTAGCTCTTGGAAGGGTTGGTCTCGCAGCCGGTCACCTCCGTCAGCTCCTCCTCCGCCACGCAGGCGATGGCCACCGAGGGGCTGGCGCTGGGGGGCTGCCGCACGGCCGGGTTGCCGGGGACCCCCCCCTCGGCACCGGCTGCCGCCGTCGCGGCGTCGGGCTCGGCCACCATCAGGTCCRTGGTCCCGGTGGGGTTGGCGAGCTCAGGGACGGGCATCGTGTCTTCCATTTCAGAGACCCAGGCGGAGGTGGGGCTGCCCAAGCTGCAAGCCTGGGACTTCATCACCTTCTCCAGGATGGTGTCCAGGTCGGGCTGGCAGGGCACGAAGTCCGTCTGGATGGCCCGCTCCTGCATGCAGCTGGCCTGCACCCCCGCCTCCACGCTGCTCCGCAGTCCCAGCACCTTCTCGTAGGGGTTGTTGGGGGGCAGGCGGGTGCCGGGCTCACCCCCCACCTCCAGCGGGTCCGTGTGGCCCGGAGCCTCCTCCATCCCCACGAAGCCGCTGTCGGCCCCCTCGTCCAGCGAGATGGTCTGCGAGCCCCCCACGTTGCGGTCCCCGGCTCCCTGGTCGCTCAGCTTGGTGTAAGTGGAGCTGCGGGTGAGGGATCGCGCYGGGGAGCCCCCGGCCGACTCGCCGGCTCCCTCCTCCTTCACCGCCCCGTTCTGTGCCACCTCCATGCTGTGCAGCAGCGTCTCCAGCTTCTTGTTCTGGATGTTGATGTCCACAAAATACTTCTGGAGGCCTTTGTCCTTCTCCAGCAGGTTGTTCTTCACCGTGTCGATGACCTGCTTCAGCTGCTTGATYTCCTTGCGAGCCTCCTTGAGCGCCAGCTGGGCTTCCACGCGGTGGCACTCCTCCTCGATCCAGTCCTCCTGCATCCGTGACAGCTGCGTCTTCAGGTCCTCGATCTCAGCATCCCTGCAGAGACAGGAGGGCACCASCAGGGCGCTGAGGGGGCTGCAGGGACAGCCCCATCCTCGTGTGCCCAGCACTGATGCTGCTGGAAGCAGATGGATCACCCAGAAACACTCCAGCTGCGAACCAGAGGTGGGTCCAGTGGCTGGGGGACCCTCAGGGGTGATGCTCAGGGACCCTCARGAGCAATGTTTGGGAACCCCCAGAAGTGATGCTCAGGGAATCTCAGAGTGATGCTCAGGGACCCCAARGATGATGCTTATGGACCCTGAGGAGTGATACTTGGGGTCTCTCAGGATTGATGTTTGAGGCCCCTCAGGACTGATGCTCAGGGCCCCCCGGGAGCACAGTTCAGAGCAATGGGAGTTCAGGGATCCCTGGAAGTGACGCTCAGCCTCCTCCCGGAGGGGCTGCAGGGCCCAGGGCTCCCGAGGGCCGTGTGGGGGTGGGCAGGTGCCCCAGGCRGGCGCGTGGCAGCTGGCACGGCGGCGAGGCTGTGCCTAAGCCTGAGAGGAGCAGATGGGGATTAGCCACCCTGTGACGCTGAAATTCAGCAAAAGCACGGCAGGGACTTAACCAGGGTGAGGGGAGAGCGCAGCCACCACAGGTGGGACGTGGGGCTCTGCAGTCCCCAAACCACAGCTCCTGGGTCGGACARGCAGCAGTGCCAGATCCCACGTGCCTGCAGTGCCGTGGGACAGCTGTCACCTCAGTACCTGGGCATAAGCACGAGGACGAGATGCCATGCTGGGAACTGACAGCCAGAAGGACCAGTCCCAGACAGGAGCAGCCACAGTGGTGGCAGTGGCCGGTGCTGTCACCCTTTCCAGCAGCTCCCATGCTGTGGGGTCTGTGCCTGCTGCTCCCACGCTCACCTGTCCTGCAGCCGCTCCTGCGTGTCCTTCAGGCGAGCCTTCAGGTGCCGGATGCACACCTCCTTCTGCTGCAGGGGGGTCAGGTACTGCTCCGGCGTCGGCGGCTTTATCCCATGGTTGTCACTGCAGAGGTTGTACTTGGACGAGCGCCTGCAGGGACACAGATGTCACCCACTGCCAGTGCCAGGGTCAGCACAGGCTTGACCCAGGGGTCCTAAGGCCTGCTTTTGGGGTGCAGCCCCATAATACATCCTAAAAGAGCACTGAGAGCAGGAGGGTGAGGGTGGGTGTGTGAGGGTGCTGTGCCTCTGGCAGGACAGACAGGGTGGGTGTCTTCGGTGCTGTCCTCTGGCAGGAGAGGCAGTGTGGGTGRTTTGGGTGCTGTGCCCTGGCRGGAGAGGCAGYGTGRGTGATYTGGGTGCTGGCAGGAGGGTGGCTGCAGCTCCTGGACACACCGGTGCTGCTGTCGGGTGCTGAGCCCTCTGTGGAGCTGCAGACTTTGCTGGGGCTTGAGCAGAACTGGGGCACCAAGGTCTCTGTGTGCTCGGACTGATCTTCCTGGGAACAACTGATGTGGATGGAGACCCCAGGGTGGGATCAKCCTCGCCAGAGATGGGGGCACAAATGGGAAATGGAAGGGTTTGGGATGGAGCAGGTCTGGAGATGGAGGCCGTCCTGCCCATGGGGAGGAACAGGAAATCCAGCACCCACTCCGAGTTAGGCCAGGAACCCGAACCTTCCATGCCACCACCAGCACCGGGGTGGACAAAGTGACATCTGTGGGCCAAGGCCTGGGGCAATGTGGAGAGCAGAGGCTGGCCAGGGACAGGGCTACACAGCCAGGCTGGAGGCACATGGAAAGCTGGAAGCTGCACGAGTGGCTCAGGCATGGCAGTGAGGGGAAGGGGGGCATCCCAAAGCTCCCCTGAGTGGTGGCCATCAGCCCAGCAGCCTTTAGCCACGTCCAGAAGCATCTTGTGAGAAGCACCCAGGCAGGACTGTGGCCTTGGAATGCCCCATGGCAGCAGGACAGCCACTGCCCAGGCTGCAGCACTCATGGGCCCTGGTCACCATGTCACCCTTGGTCCCCTCAGATCCTCCCACAATGGTTCCATCTCTGGGAGCTGGCAGGGGCTGGGGACAGGCAGGATATGAACCACGAGCTGCTGCACCTGCGGGGCTGGGGCTAGTGCCCATCCCATATCTCGGTGCCAGCTGTGCCCCCAGCACCCCAGAGCTCCCTGCTGAGAAGCCAGGGGGCCACCAGCTCTTGCCAAACCTTTGCCGAGCAACACGAGGGGATGGAAGCGAAGCTCTTGCCCTCGTGCTTTTGGTCTGGAAGGATCCGGGTGCTCCTCGGAATGCGGGAGTGGCGGGAGGGAGCGTGCAGAGTGCAAGCCACAGCCACAGCAGGACGGAGGGAAGGGGACAAGGGTCCCTGGGTGGCAGGCGGGGGGACAGGGAGGGAGACGACACAACAACAGCGGCGGAGAGGTTTGGAGGAGGAGAGTAGTGAGGGTCTCTGGAGACACAGCAGCAGCTCCRCCAGCTCCGGCTCCCCAGCCACCAAGCGCACAGCCTCGCTCCACGGCCCTGCGCTCCTGTCCCCGCCGGGCACCGGCACCGGCAGCAC